TTGACGACCCCTATTATTTTCAGCTTAGCTATTTTTAGTGAAAAACTCCAGTTCTATTGTCAAATTAGATTTACGAGACCTTGAGTTTAAAGGAAAACAATATTGTTTATAGCAATGAAGGTATTACCCACTGACCTTACAGTACATCTAGATAAGGAAAATATGACATTGCAGAATTCACTCCAAGAATAAACAGCGAGAGATAAAAACACGCTCAAGGTAAATGGGTTGGAATGACTGCGCACAACACGGCGTGGCACCTTATGACACCGGTTATAAAACTCCAGTAGTAAATGCCAATCCTTAACGTAAGAAAGACTGACAGGGCATATCTGGTGTATTGCAAACACGCCACAAACAGCCAGACAGGAACTCAGCTTATCATAGGTCCTTATGAGAGGAGGCGATTAAATGGCGCCAGCACGAAATTTACTGATTATTATTTGCATTATAGGGTATTTAGCAATAAACGTGGGATACACCCATCATCGGAGAGTCGGTAAATGTCTATGTATTGCTAACTTAAAGGGACAGTCCAGGGACATTAAGAATATGTTTCTGAAAATGTACTTTTAATGCCTAGATGTTTTTTAATCGGATAAAGTAGTGTAGGTTATAGGAGGTGTGGGGAGCTGCAGTGAGTGTGCTGCTCAGGTAGTGTGGGTTATAGGAGGTGTGGGGAGCTGCAGTGAGTGTGCTGCTCAGGTAGTGTGTGTTATAGGAGGTGTGGGGAGCTGCAGTGAGCGTGCTGCTCAGGTAGTGTGGGTTAGGAGGTGTGGGGGGAGCGTGAGTGTCCTGCTCCAGTGTGTGTTATAGGAGGTGTGGGGAGCTGCAGTGAGTGTGCTGCTCAGGTAGTGTGGGTTATAGGAGGTGTGGAGAGCTGCAGTGAGCGTGCTGCTCAGGTAGTATGGGGAGCTGCAGTGAGCGTGCTGCTCAGGTAGTGTGGGTTATAGGAGATGTGGGGAGCTGCAGTGAGTGTGTTGCTCAGGTAGTGTAGGTTATAGGAGGTGTGGGGAGATGCAGTGAGTGTGCTGCTCAGGTAGTGTGGGTTATAGGAGGTGTGGGGAGCTGCAATGAGCGTGCTGCTCAGGTAGTGTGTTATAGGAGGTGTGGAGAGCTGCAGTGAGCGTGCTGCTCAGGTAGTGTGGGTTATGGGAGGTGTGGGAAGCTGCAGTTAGTGTGTTGCTCAGGTAGTGTAGGTTATAGGAGGTGTGGGGAGATGCAGTGAGTGTGCTGCTCAGGTAGTGTGGGTTATAGGAGGTGTGGGGAGCTGCAATGAGTGTGCTGCTCAGGTAGTGTCGATTATAGGAGGTGTGGAAAGCTGCAGTGAGCGTGCTGCTCAGGTATTGTGGGTTATAGGAGGTGTGGGGAGCTGCAGTGAGCGTGCTGCTCAGGTAGTGTGGGTTATAGGAGGTGTGGGGAGATGCAGTGAGTGTGCTGCTCAGGTAGTGTGGCTTATAGGAGGTGTGGGGAGCTGCAGTGAGTGTTCTGCTCAGGTAGTGTAGGTTATAGGAGGTGTGGGGATCTGCAGTGAGCATGTTGCTCAGGTAGTGTGTGTTATAGGAGGTGTGAGGAGCTGCAGTGAGCGTGCTGCTCAGGCAGTGTTGGTTGCTGGACTTAGCAGACTGATCAAATACTTATTATGATCACACCGCAGAACAAGAACTATGAATTCTCCAAAACATTTTCTCTCATGTGCGTGTTGGCAGTGGCACAACCATTTGGCAATGATCTATTTTAAAAGGTAGGGTGGCAGTTCCAGAAATGGCCACAAGAGGCAGTACAGACACAATACTATCAATCTAATAACTGCTCCTTCAATGCAGCTCCCCACACCTCCCATAACCCACACTACCTGAGCAACACCCTATCTGAATTCTATGGTTTTACAAATTGGGACATAAGAATCATCTGTATATGTATCATATGTATTTACTTAATTTTAAGATCTGCTAAGGGACAGTTGATTGTTATTATGTCCTAATATGTAAAACCATAGAATTCAAAGAGGTGTACTTTGTTTTTCCCGTGACTATATATATATATATATATATATATATATATATATATATATCATTTTCAATGTAGCCCTTCCCTTTCCTCCATAAAACTTATCTATGAATGCCCTGGATTGTAAAGAAGACTTTAACCTGCTTCAAAAACACAGGTAAATATTTGGTGACAAAGCAGAAATGATCTTTAGCAAACAAAGATAAAAAATGCCTAGTAATAAGAAATGACAAAGCGAAAAAAACATAATATATGGCTGCAATAAAACCATAAAGCTACAACTGCAGTAACTTCACTACTTCTAAAGCATGACCGATCAAAACAAATTTAAAATAGTCACGAGAAAGGCAGCACATTTTACAAGGTGTGTGATTTACCGAAAGCTATGTAAAGATACCTGCAAACATTTAACTAGGTTTTAAAATCCATAATACAAGGCCGAGCATGGGACGAAAAATAAAAAAAATCTTTTTAGAAAAGGCATTCATATATAAAAAAAAAAAATCGACAAAACACAGAGAAGAAAAATTCAAAGTATACTTGTTAAAGCACACAGAAATCTTATGGTAAATTTAAATGGTATTACATTTCACCCATATATTATGCTACCAGACATACAAAAAACTGTACAGATGAAAAATTAAATAACAAAAAAAAAAAATCCCTTATCCATTTCGATGAATTTAGGGGTAGGGGGGAACAAACAGATATGGAGACATGAGCAGTGGCGTACACACGATCCATGGAACCCCGGTGCGAAAATTGATCCGTGGAAAATTAATCCTTGGGCCCCCCAGGAGAAGAGGCTGGCAAATTGGCGTACATACCGGTCCCAGGGCGGCCGGGCCCCCTGGTGGACCGGGCCCAGTCGCAGCTGCGACCCCTGCAACTCCGGAATGTACGCCAGTGGACATGAGAGAATGTATGCTGAGAGTTGCTTGAAAGGTGAGACGCAGGAGAACCCTCATACAAGTGGTTCTCCTGCATTTGTTCACAGCAACTACAGTGCAGGAGGTAGAACAGAATAGAACACTTAAGTATCGTCTTCATGGTGACCACCACACCGCTGAAGAGAAGATAATTAAAAAAAAAAACAATGAACCATTCGATATGATCATTTAACATTCAAACGATTTAATCAATTTTATTCACTTGGCCTGTCAGTGGTTTTAGTGTTGTGGCTGATCAGTGTATATTCATTACTTAATGCAATGGAATGTGGTAAACCTGTGCCATGGCAGGCTCATTTTAAATCTCTTGATGTAAATATTCAAAATGGCTGACAATTGTGCCTTGATCAGGGTTACTATATCCACCATGTTTTCAGGGACACATATCACGTATACATATTTATGGGCAGCACATGAAAAGGGTAGCCCTGTAGTATGTAGAATTCAGAAGGTGTATAAGATTAAGTAGTAAGGCAATGAAGAACCCTGCAGAATATGCATTAAACATACTGCAGGGCCAGCCTTTATATTACAATTCCTCAACACAAAAAATAAATACAATGCAACGTTCACAACAAGATAGAAGAACAATTAAATGTATCTGAATACACATATAATGTTCGCTAAGTAACATTTGTTTTATTTATTTTGATTACAGACTTAGGAAAAATGGCAAAACAGCAGAAACACCCAATAAGAATTGTTTATTAACATTGATAATATTGTATTTATTCATTTCAAGCAATGCCTCTCCAGGCTTAGGTTTATCGTTGCCCACCGGGGGCAGCCATTTTTAAGACCTCTTTAGTAGGAAGCACAACGTAATTGTCCAAAAATCATACCGATAATTAAAAGCTAGGGCTTAGTGTCTCAAACGCACTTTGAATTTTGAACTAGTCTCATACATTCATACACTTCCTATGATACTGGAAAATGATTGTTTCTGCTAACCAAGGAGGACATAAAGATGGCTGCCTCCACAGAGCAAGGTTAAGCCAGAAGATGCACTGAAAAAAAAATATATTTTTCTTATGTCTATGCATTACAAAATTATATATACAGAATCTACAATACATGGAGAGTTTTATTTTTAACAATAAAAGCAGACGCGTGTTTTCCTTTAAACGACCAGCTCACAATTGCTATAATCTGACGGGGCACTTTTGGACGTTAAAAAGAATTCAGAGCTCAATAAACTTGTAGCAGCAAAGGTGACAGTGCAAAAAAATGTAAAAGTTCATATAATCAGGCAGTAAAAGGATTACATGTAAATATAATGTCATAAACTGTAAAAAGATGACATTGCAAAAGAGAAGAGTGATCTCAGCGGGACGTAAACACACTTTTAAAAGGTATATTTTACTGAAATGGGACCTGTCTCTGAATTTTACAACACACTAAAACATGGCGAATGCACCTGCAGGTGTAGTATAAACGTAAAAGGCTCAGATACATTTTGATTCTTTTTATAAGTTAAAGAATCATCACATTTTCACTTCTTGTGTGTTTTTTTAAGTTTATTACATTTAATTAAACATTTTTCTTTTCTTTTCTTTTTTTTTAAAGTAATGCATATAGATTTTTTTTGAGAAATTTTCAATTTTTTTATGTGCGGGAGCAGCCATGTTGGGTCAGACTCTACTGTTTTCTGACCAACTGTTGCTCAACCTAACTTGCTGCTGCTGTGATTGCTCTGCGTGAACCTGCAGCAGCAGGCAAGTTAGGTTGAGCAACAGTTGGTCAGATAGAAAAAAAAAGTGACATTTTATAAAAAACTATTTAATATACATCACTTAAGCAAAAGAACATAAATTTATAAAAATATAATAAACTTAAAAAAAGAGAAAGTGAAAATGTAATGACCGTTGAAGTTTAAGGAAATCTGTGATTAAATTGTAAATAAATTATAAATAAATGCTTTCAAAGCTCCAATTTGGCACTTCCAAGATCTATTGTCACATTTGTTTTAAGGTCAGTGCAGTGGTTATGGAGCTGTAAGTCTATGGGTGCATATTTGAAGTGGATACACTTCCATTTGCGATGGTTGCGATGGGGAAGCACTCTAAGAAATCTCGAGGGCTTAGCGAGGGGCATATCCGCGATATTGGACAACTACTCTCCGAGTCATGCCTGCCCAAAATGGTGGATCCGCAGCAAACTTCTCCACCGGACTCGATGTCTCCCTCAGATGAAGAGGACCAGGAGCTAGAGGAGGCCTTGACATACAAACGCAGGAGCAAGGTTCTCCCTCCACAGCAGACAGAGCCACAGCAGATGCAGCCACGGCAAATAGAGCCACCCTGGCCAAAATGGATCTGACCTCCATGGTAGCGGAGCTTAAGGCCTTCTTTGCCTCAGAGATGCAGGGCCCTGGCAACCGGGATATTTCCTTGTGGGCTCCCCCTGTCTTGGGCCGCAGCGCTGGGCGAATGGCTCTTGAGCTGCCCCCAACGCCGGGCTGATCCTCAAGGCGCCCAAAGGTGGGGGCGCCCAGAGGAGCCCTGTCACAGGGCACCATCTAAGTTGTCCTTCAGTATGGCAGAGCAGGCACTTTCTTACCTTGATGACAGGTGCCTGCTCTGCTATCAAATGCCGGTGACCGGAGGAGCCAGGAGAAGGCAGGCGGCGAGGGAGGCTGTTCTTGCAGCCTCCCACTCCTCCTCTCACTCCTCCCTTGCATGCCCTCTGTGATGCCGGAAGTCAGAATATGACATATTTACAGCCCCGACATACTAAACAGCTGGTGGGAGGAGTAAGGAGCCCAGGGAGGTGAGTGTTTGACTTTTTGACTGTCAGTGAGTGAGCGTCTGTGAGTGTGTATGTCTGTCTGTAAGTGTCTGTGTGTCTGTCAGTGAGTTAGTGTATGTCTGTCAGTGATGGTCTGAGTGAGTGTATGTCTGTCAGTGAGTGTGTGTCTGTCAGTGAGTGTCTGTGTGAGTGTGTGTGTGTGTGTGTGTGTGTGTGTATGTCTGTCAGTGAGTTTCTGTGTGTGTGTGTCAGTGAGTGTATGTCTGTCAGTGATTGTCTGAGTAAGTGTATGTCTGTCAGTGAGTGTATGTCTGTGTGTGTGTCTGTCAGTAAGTGAGTGTGTGTCTGACAGTGAGTTTCTGTGTGTGTATGTCAGTAAGTGGGTGTATGTGTGTCAGCGTGTGCGTCTGTCAGTGAGTGTCTGTCAGTTAGTGAGTGACATGAGGGAGCGGCAAAATGGATCTTTGCCTAGGGCAGCAGAAATCCATGCACCGGCCCTGCTGAGATGGCGGTGCTTAAGGAAAATCCAAATGCACTGACTGAGCATATGAGCCCCGGTGAAAGACATTCATAATCTACGAATCAATCAAGATTCTACCGCAGCACAAATGCTCGAAATGAACGCTACATGTGCACAACTAAGTGCCAAGATGGGGCAATTAGAAGATGCAACAAGACAACGCAACCTGAAGGTGAGAGGGGTCCCTGACACGATAGACCCTGCGCAATTTCCACCATTTATCAGGAGGTTGTTCTCCACAACCTTAACAAGCTAAAGGGCAATGAATCACCGGATGGACTTTCTCGCCTACCCGGTTAACCTTATAACAAATCTCCCACACCATGAGATGCCATCATAAGCTTCAAGTCCAGAAATGACAAATAAATGTTTCTGAAAGCGGTCCGTGTCACTGAGCTTTATTCAGGACGCCCAACGCTACAGTGGCGTGTATCCTTAAAAGGAATAAGCGCTAAGCTGCGCACTGCATCCATCTCATACAAATAGGGATATCCGAGGGCACTCATAGCCGAAAACAACAGTCATCGCTACAAGCTGACCACAGTATCGGAGGCTGAGCCGTTACTGTGCTTGCTGGGACTGGAGGCTGTGGACACCCCATGCCCCCTCACCAGCCGTACCCAGAAGTGGTACATGGCTAATGTACCTGTATTAACCCCTTAGGCTGAGGGGTCCTTTACTCCAGGCTGAACCTACCCTGAAGAGTACTAGGGAAATGTTTTCCCGCTGCCTTTAACATTTGCCATATATGTGTTATCTCCTCTACGATTAATTTAGCTGTTTCCTTAGTTTAACCAGTTTTGAATGTGTTGGGTCTTAGTGGAAAGCAGACGGTAGAGTCCCTCTCTTCTTTAGAACAGGTGCCCAAAATTGCACAGCATATTCAAGGTGTGGTCTTACCAGCGATTTATAAAGAGGCAGAATTATATTTTCATCCCGAGAATTTAAGCCCCTATTTATACATGACAAAATCTTACTGGCCTTAGCAACTGCAGATTGACATTGCATATTGCTGCCTAATTTGTTATCTATAACAATTCCCAAATCCTTCTCGTGTGTGATTATCCCTAATTCATTACCATTTAGTGTGTAAGTTGCTTGTGCATTCTTAACCCCGAAGTGCATAACTTTGCATTTCTCTATGTTAAATTTCATCTGCCATTTTAGTGCCCAGTCCCCCAATCTATCCAAATCTCTCTGCAGCAAAGCAATATCCTGCTCACATTTTATTACTTTACAAAGTTTTGTGTCATCTGCAAACACTGATACATGGCTTTCAATGCCTATTTCAAGATCATTTATAAATATGTTAAATAGAAGTTGTCCCAAAACAGAACCCTGAGGGACACCACTTACCACTTTTGTCCAGCCTGAAAATTTACCATTAATGACAACTCGTTGTACTCTATCCTTAAAGGACCACTCTAGGCACCCAGACCACTTCAGCTTAATGAAGAGGTCTGGGTGCCAGGTCCAGCTAGGGTTAACCCATTTTTTCATAAACATAGCAGTTTCAGAGAAACTGCTATGTTTATGAATGGGTTAAGCCTTCCCCCTAATCCTCTAGTGGCTGTCTCATTGAAAGGTAGTTTCAATTTAAGTTTTACCCCTTTTCCCCTTTCCAGAGCCGGGCGGGAGGGGGTCCCTGAGGGTGGGGGCACCCTCAGGGCACTATAGTGCCAGGAAAACGAGTATGTTTTCCTGGCACTATAGTGGTCCTTTAAGCCAATGTTCTACCCAAGAACAAGAATATTCAACTAGACCAATTTCTTTTAGTTTGAAGACTAACCTATTGTGAGGAAGCGTATCAAATGCCTTGGCAAAATCCAAGTAGATCACATCCACTACAACACCCTGATCTATACTTCTTCTTACTTCTTCGTAGAATGCAATTAGGTTAGTTTGACATGACCGATGTTTCATAAAACCATGCTGATTATTGCTAATAACAAAGTTCTTCCCAATGAATTCATGAATATTATCCCTTAATAGCCCTTCAAATATTTTCCCAGTTACAGATGTTAAGCTCACAGGTCTATAATTTCCAGGCAAGGATTTTGAACCCTTTTTAAATATAGGAACAACATCTGCCTTCTTCCAATCCTCCGGTACAACACCTGAAACAAAAGAATCTTGAAAAATTAAATACTGAGGTTCACTTATTTCCCCACTTAGCTCCTTAAGAACTCGTGGGTGAATACCGTCAGGCCCCGGAGCTTTATTTACATTACTTTTCTTTAATAGCTGTAGCACTTTGTCTCGAGTTATCCAATCACAAGTTATTTGCAAGTTTTTTGCAGCAATCATTTGCATATCTCTTGCCATAAGATCCTCATTAATATATACTGAAGAACATTTCTGCTTTTTCCTGGTCTTCATTAGCTAATAAACCCAACTCTGTTTCAAGTGTACCTACACTTTCATTTTTTGTTTTTTTAGAATTAAGGAGTTTATTTAGGGTTAAGGAGTTTATTAATTCTGCAACTACACAGTCATGCCTAAGGCATACCCTGATACACAATACACCCCTTGGGTGGACCAGGTCATCAAGGGGCATAGCAAATGTAATTTTCCCACCTTTAGCGTACTCAAGTTCCCATTTTTAATAATAAAATAAATATATATATATATATATATAGTTTTTAATGGTCTGTTATCTTAAATCTTACTAGGCTTGCCTGAGCTAATTATGGTCCACCCGAGAAACACCATAGCATGACTTATTCCCTTATTTTGAATCTTTTAATTAAAACAAGGACCCCTGCCATCATCCGTGGCTATTTAAAGTTAACGTCATGCAAGACTGACACTAAACAATCTTGCTTATCTAAAAGTATTAATTGATTAAGTTCTTGTTTTGTTACCATGACGTCTATCTCTTTGGTCTCCACATGACACGGATGTATTTCTCCTGTACAATTATCTTTCTTTTTCGTGAAAAAAAAAAAAAGGCAGCAAATCCTGACTTTTCACATATGCATATTGTTCTTATGTTTCATATTATGCATCAATACTAAAGCATGTACTTAACCCTGCACTTCAAAAAAAAGAATAATAAAAATAAAAATAATAAATAAAAAAAGCCGTAGAAAAAGAAGACAAATAAATAAAAGCCAATACAACAAATACAACATTGAAACCTAAAACTAAATTAAGCTAAATATGCTCCACATTATATTTTCTGGGTATTTGAGCATGGAATTAAAGGGGCACTCCAGACCCCTAAAGCACTTTAGCTTGCTGAAAGGTTTTATTTGTGAAGAGTGTGTCCTCTTTTTTCATTTTGGAAACAGCGCAGATTTCAGTTAGAAACTGACACCTTTATATATTATACTGGTTACACCTCTCTGGCTTTTCAATCACACAGGCGATTCTGTTACTTCCTGGTTTGATTAGCTTAGCTGCACTAAACTGAAGAGGCAGCAATTGCTCAGAGCACCAGCCTTGCAAAGACTTCTCATTGAGTTGCATTGGAAAGTCTGTGATTGGACAGCCATAGAACATCTGGGTGGGGTCAGAAGGGGACGATTTGCAAAGGCACCAGGCAAGAAAAATGCAGGTTTTGCAAGCTGTTTTTGGATATAACACCAATAAAAAAAAATGTATAATTAAATGCATTAAATTTTTATTTGGGATATATCTTCTAAACAGTCATTTTTATTTATTTTATACTTGGACAGTGGAGTATCTCTTTAACTCAATATCGGGGGCAATTAGCCTGAGGTGTCTTGTTTTGGAAAGTTGATATAATTGCACTATGGGGCGTATATGGGGGTATAATTGCGTCTTCTTTACTAGAGGGTGAGGAACACAAACTTGTATTTCTGACCCTATAGAGTTAAAAACACTATCTAGCCCCCTCACCTCCTAAATATAGTAAAATCTTACCTTTATTCCAGTCTGCTGCTGCTGGCTCCAGTCCTGTCCTGTCTCCTTGGCTGACATCATCAGAAGTGATAATCTCAGTCAATCACAATGCTTTTCCAAAGCATTGGATTGGCTGAGATTGTCAATTTTAATGATCGCACATGTGCCCAAAGGACAGCCTCTT